ATAAATCATTTGTAAAAATGTGTAAAAAGGAATTTAAAGTAGCAAATTAATTGTTACAAATAGACATTTTTTTAAGATATTCAATTTATTATTTATGGTTCGTTTTAATAAATAATTTTCCTAAGTGTGACTTTTATTTTTAACAGTTCTGTTTATTTTCAAAATGTTCTGAATTGATTTAAAAGTTTCAATATTTTTTAGTTTGCGAAAAACAATTGTGCTTTACTTGCATGTTTCATTAAAAATAATACATCTAACATTTGGCTAAATAAATGAATACTCCACGATTAAAGAGTTATATACTCATCTATGGTTATCTATAGTCAATGACATAGATTATAGATTTAGTATATATCATTGAACTAGACTACAGATGTTCCCCTCCACTTCAATGGTATATATTCTGTAATCTATGGTCAATGAGTAGAAGCATAGATATTAGGTATACAAAGAGATTATCTATGACAAAGAGTAAAAGTAATAATAAGAAGAAGTTGTAAGGTTATATTTATAGTATTCGCTTATATTAATATTAATAATTAATATTTGTGTAAATCCGTCTTAATGTGAATACTTTAATCATGTCTGAAAATAAAATTGCAAAAGATTTAACTGAAAACAATTCAGATAATCGAACAACGAATTGTTGTGATGAAGGTTATGAAGATGAAGCAATACATGAAGATTCTGTTACAAATATTAGTTCAACTTCTTCAGAAACCACTGAAAAGGTTACAAAAACATGCCAAGAAGACATTCAAAAACCTGTATGTAGTGTAAATATTTCAACTGGAACTTCTGACGAACACAACCTTGATATAAATAGTGATGTTTCAGTTAATGCAATTTCTTCTTCAGCAACCGGTAATTGTGATACAGATACATCTATTAATGTTGAAGGTAGTATATAGCAAATACATAAATGTATCAGTATTAAACAAACAAAAAAATTTTAGTTGCAGAAGGTGAGAGTAAGACAAGTTCAGAAGTGACTGATCCTAGTAGCTCTTATGATCCTAAATACGTCCATTATGAGGGCGATGTCGCTGTTTATAAAGATCCCAAGTCAGGCTATGAGTATACATGGAATAAAGACAGCGAAGAATGGACTTTACGTAATAATGAAAACTACAGTTTTGAAGATGATACACACACATATACAGATAAAGATGGAGTAAAGTACTTTTGGGACAAAGAGAAGTCAGCTTGGTTTCCAAAAATCGATGACGATTTTATGGCTATGTACCAGTTGAATTATGGTTTTATTGTTAATACAGAAAACAAACTCGAAGAGAGTAAAGAAGATGATGAAGAAGAAACAGCAAATCCTAGAAATGAAGCAGTAAATCAAAGTAAGGGCTTAGCTTATTGCTTTCAATATTTTAGTTTTTGTTATCTTTTTCTCTGCAGATTTGGGTCAGAAACGTAAATCTGCCAAAGACCCAGAGTGGTTTCAAGTTGATGACCAACACAACACAAACGTTTATGTCAGCAATTTACCTTTGGACATAACAGAGCAAGAATTCGTCGATTTCATGCAAAAGTGTGGGCTAGTAATGCGAGACCTCGCAACAGGCAAAATGAAAGTTAAACTCTATACAGAAAAGGACACCAATATTTTAAAGGGCGATGCCCTATGTACGTACATAAAGAAAGAATCGGTAGATTTAGCCCTAAATGTCTTAGACGGCTATAATTACAAAGGACATAAAGTAAAAGTGGAAAGAGCCAAGTTTCAAATGAAAGGGGAATATAATCCATCCCTAAAACCTAAAAGGAAGAAAAAGGATAAAGAAAAAATGAAAAAAATGCAAGAAAAACTGTTTGACTGGCGTCCTGAAAAGTTGCGAGGTCAACGTGCTAAGCATGAAAAGGTTGTAATTATTAAAAACGCTTTTGAACCCTCTATGTTTGACCACGACGTGAGTTTGATATTAGAAATTCAAAAGGACGTGAGAGAAGAATGTACAAAGTGTGGGGTGGTAAGAAAAGTTGTTATTTTCGATAGACATCCTGAGGGAGTTGTACAAGTCAACATGAAATCAGCTGAAGAAGCAGACGAAGTTATTCAATTAGTTAATGGACGATTTTACAACAAAAAGCAGCTTTCAGCAGAAACATGGGATGGTAAGACTAAGTACAGAATTGCAGAAACTGACTCAGAGATTTCCAAGAGAATTGATAAATGGGACAAATTTTTGGAAGGAGATGAAAAGCAACCCGCAGAAAACGAGGAACAACCCGTACAAAAAGAAACACATACGAAATAAAATACAATCATCTAGGTATGCAATTTATTGTAATATTAACATTTAAAAAATATATCAACTAAGATTAACCAATATTCATACAAGAATTAAAGAGAGAGCGGATATAGTATTCCATTTTTTTTTTTAGTATTTATCATTTTAAAAAGGCTTTATTACGAGGTACACAAAAAGTATTTTTACAACGACTTAGTACAACGGTAAAACTTTTTTACAGCTTATTTGAACCCCTTTTCTTTAATTTAAAGTTTATTCAAGTTTTAAAATGGGGAAGACGACTTTAATAATTTTAATTGATGAATACGATTTTTGTGTGTGTTTATTTTATATTGTATTTTTAAAATCCCTTAATTTTAAAAATACAACTATTGCAAAAAATTATAAATAACACTTTCGTCAACACGTTTTAAGAAAGAATATTGAGTTAAAATCAGTTCTCTAAATACATAAAAAGTTTCTGTGTCATTTTATTTGTTAATGTGGCTCAGTTATATATAACAAATTTAAATAATATTTTTATGTTAAAATATATGAATTAAAGTATTATATTACCAATTCTCTTAATAGAATTATAAAATGAAAATGTCATATTTTCAAAATGATTTTTCTTTTAAATTATTGTCTCCCTATTCTAAGACCCAAAAACATAAAGTAGAAAAAAGGGTTCTTAAGCTTTTAAAACGTAAAACCATGTGGGAAAGTATATAACAATTTAACGATACAAGCTAATTATTAAAAAATGTTGATGGGACTTTATGAATTAAATAAAAGTTAATTTTGGCTCATTAATTTTAAAATTTATGGAGATCCATATAGGCAACTTCTACAATTTGGGTAACAGAAGATTGTACAGTTGCCTATACTGAACACTACACGATTTTATTTGTTATAAACGCTGTTATTAATAAAAAATAAATAATAGAATGTGCTTTTTATTGGGGAGCTCTAAAAAACAGTGAATAAATATTAAAAAAGACAAAAAAAAATAAATATCAACTATTAAACAAATTTCTATTATAATATCTATGGTGATTAATGTTATCCTTTGTATATTTATTATCTATGGTTGTAATTGACATAACTGACGTATGACTGACGTTTTCTATTTTACATTACGCTTTTGACGTATAAAAGTAAATTTAAATGCGAAAAGACTACAGTTTCGTTATAATTTATTGTATCAAATCGATTTTTATGTAAAATGTTCCTCGTTTTAATAGTTACTGATAGTGTATTTTCTCCAGGAAGTGATGTATGCTTAAAATTTAAGTAATACAAAATGAGTTGGTTCGATACGTCTAGTCTGGCAAATATTGCTAAAACGGCCCTAAAAGAAGCTCAACGTACTATAGATAAGGCTCTTGATATTCAAGAAGACGCAGGTAGTGCACCCTCAAATCTACCGTTGGATACAAACTCCGAAGACTTCTTTGATTCGTGGGGCGTTAAAAATAATGTACCTCCCAAAGAAATAAAGAGTAATAGTCTGGATGAAGTGGTTACCAAGAGCCCTTCAAAGTCAAAGTTATCATCTAGCATATGGGGCTCATTTTCAGGATCATTTTTTGACTATCCCAAAGAAACAACAGCAGCAGCAAATGAAAATAAGAATTTGATAGAATGTTTAGATGATTCAAATGATATTGGAGAGGAACACTTTAAGAAAAGTAAATTGGTTGTTCAGCAAAGTGATGATGACTTTTTTCAGACGATATCATCAAGTAGTAAAAGTACTGAGCCCACTGATGGAGAACCAGAGAAAGGTAATGAATACATTTCATACTATGTGTTTTATTATCTTTCCTATTCACTTAGATAAGAGTCAAACTTCAAGTATTCAAGTAATTGAAGAAAAAGGCAGTAATTATGACAGCAGTAAGGATACTTCAGAGAATGTTGAAAATATAAGTGGAGATACTGATTATATGAAGACACCAGATTCAGAACTTGTTTCACCAGGTTTCACATTGTCTGCTTCTAGTTCAGGTCCATTTACATACAAAATATTTTAATAATGAACTAAAAAAACCTTCATTATGTAATATAGATTTGTTGTTTTAGAATTCAAAGATAAATCACAATCTGTAGAAGTTTTAACAGATAGTTTAGCAAGCCCTAGTTCAGTAGAGGTGCTTACCACAGACCCCACAAATAGCAGACAAGATCCTAATGATTCAAATGATAACGAATCACCATCTTTAATTTTAGATATTGAGGAACAATTTCAGTAAGTGTATTTTATCTATAATGCTTTATAGGTATGTTTAGTTGTCTTTAGCAATTATGCAATTTTAAGAGTGCAAAATGTTTCTAAAGGCTTGGCAACCATCTCTGTTAGCCTGTTATTATAACAAGAATGCCATAAATTAATACAGTCTCATATTAACAACTACCATATATCTAACAAAGGGCACAACTTTCTTTAGAAATTCAATTTATATATTTTTTCTTTTCTCTTTAGAACAAAGTCCGACCATTCATCCCCAGATAGTGTAGAGGTAATCCCAGAAAATGCAGACGAATGCAGTATTGTGGAAGACACCGTATCATTTGCGTCCGCTTCAGAAAGAACTGTTCTTGAATCAGACCTTTATTCTAATCAATACTTACCTTGTAACAACCAGGAAAAGTTTTCGCCTATATCAGAAGGTACTTCTGATATTTTATCTAAGCCAGTTGAGACCCAACCACACCACAGCACAAAAGATGTCTTCCCACCTCCCGTGTTAATGAAAAATTCCAACGTCATTGACATTCCATTGGATGGCGAGAATTTACAAGAGAATCACTTTGACGATGACGGTTCACAATCTGATAGGACAATCATTGCATCAACTGAAAACATTATGGAAAGCAGTAGCGATACTGCAAGCACCAGTACCGAACAAAATGCGAATTCTTCCTACTTTAAAACTATGATTGCTGATGCTATGACCGAAAAGGATCAAACAAAAGAAGACAGTAAAGATGTGAAAGAAAGTGTTATTGATATGTCAATTTCTCAACTAGAATTAAGAGAAGTTTCATCTGTTAGTTCAGAAAGTAGATCTGATCTAGTTAAAATTGAGTCTGACCAAGCCTCAGGACATACTTCAGGTAACCAATTTACTACCGTGTCTATGCAAGTAATTGTCATATTAAGTTGAATTTATTTAGGAGATGAAATAGAAACAACGACATCTTCGGACATAGAAATTATTTCAAGTCCCAACGGTGACTCCAGCAGCAACCACAGTAGACACAGTCCAGCTAAAATATCCTGTATAAAGCAAAAATGCAGCGAAGCGAACGTGGATGCTCTCCTAGGAAAAATGACTTTTAAAAAAATTAAAGGCCATAACAGAGAACTGTCAGAAGCATCCAGTGTAAGTGATGATTCTTCAGAAATCGATAGACTCGTGAAAAGGATAAACGAAATGACTGAAATCCTGGAATATCGTGAAACAAAACTTGTTGAGATCAACAGGAACTATTTGGAACTGCAGGAAATCAACGCTAACCTCCAGAAGCAGCTAGATACTATGATGATGAAACAAATGGAATCTGCAGACTTGTCACAGGTCACTGAAGAGTACACAAGAAGGATGTCCGTCCTGGAGAAGAAGTTTCAACAGGCAATTCGAGAAAAAGACCATTTGAATAAACAGGTCGAGCATTTCAAGCAAGAGGCTGCCAGCAGAGTCAGTAAAGGCGAACTAGACGGCCTCATCAACGAAAAAGACGAAATCATAAAAGAGTTAAGAGAAGAAGGTGAAAAACTATCCAAACAACAACTGCAACATTCCAATATTATTAAAAAGTTGAGAGTCAAAGAAAAAGAACACGAAGGTACAATAAAGAAGTTGAGGTAAATTATTTAAACATATTATAATTACTGTTCTGTTTTACTTTTAAATTTGATTGACACCTTCAGAGGTTCCTCCGGCCGCTTAGCAGCACAATATACTTTATATACATTTCGTCGGTGGTACATTTTTACTTCATTGTAACATATTCGCTAGCGTTATCATCACGACCTGCAGCCAGTGATTGGTTTTCATCATTAGGGAACCTCTGAAGATGTTTACTATGCGTTTTAATGATACATCAAATAAAAGTAAAGTTACTGTATTGTTTTAGGGATAATATAGAAGATCTTAGTTCGGAAAATGACCGACTTAAGAGATCTTTAGCTGCTAAGGACGAAGTGGAACACTCGCAGATAGAAGCGGTTCATCAGCTTACAGCCAGGAATAAAAAGTTGGAATACGATGTGACTCAGCTGCAGAGTCAAATCGAAGACGTCACCCAAAAGTACGAAACGGTGAAGAAATCGCTGGATGCAGCGAAAAAGGAGCTGACTGATAAAACGAGAACTTATTCTGAGTTACAACACAAACAACAAATGCTTAAGAGTTTGGAGAACGAAAAGAGGATGACAGAATCACAAAACGAAGAGGTGAGTAAATTTATTTTAAGCTTCTATTCAAAATTTTAAACTGACTTGAAAATAATACCGAATGTTTGTTTATTATGCTCGTACTATAAATTAAGGGATAATTAAATTGCAGTCATTTTAAGAGTCCAATGTAGAACACTATTGAATGCCCACGAAAATCATTTCTGTATCTCGACTATTATCGTAACTAGAAATGCCGAAAGTCAATATAGTTGTCTCAAATTTGAACTTCTGAATATAAAAACATTATTCGTAAGGGTGGTTTAAATAAAAATTTAATATTGGGCTATTGGAGCATCACGCTTATATTTTAAGCAATACGGCGGTGTATGTTGGGTTGCATATCCTCAAATAAAATAATCTTTAAAGCTCATATCTAATAAGAATGCTACTAATAAATAATAAATTAACAAGTAAATAAAAAAATACTATAATTTGCAATTAATGGAATAGTATTAATGTAAGTGCTTTTTTCTGTTATCGTATACGACGAACGTATGTGTAGTTTTTTCTTAAATTTGATTTTATTTTTTGTAATCTGAAAATTAAAATCGTAATACATAATAATATAATTTCCGCAGAAATTTTAATATCTGCATCCTCCTTGGCTTCCGCAAAGTGAAACTGTTTAAAATCCACACATCAAGTGAATACCCATGCGTTCTTTATTTGTCAAAATACTTGTTTTAATTAATAGTTTATTTTAAGATTTTAGCCCAAATCGAAGATTTACGCACTAAATTGCAAGAAGCAGAACAGGAAATGTTAAAACGTGAACAACAATTAAAAAATGAGAATAATGAACTCTTACGGCGCTTGGAGGCGGCAGAGGCGAGAAACGAAGAATTGGCACAGTCTGTTGTCGAAGCCACTAAACCATTGGTGAGACAACTCGAAGTTCTTCAGGCTACACATAGTATGAAAATTGCAAATTATGAAAAAATTGAACAAGAACTAACATCTACAATACGTAAGTTTATATTTAATATATAAATTAATGTACATCAAAAAAAAGAGGGCATTTAATGACCAGAAGTATTTTTTTGATAACAGAAGAACTACAAAGTAAAATTCAAACTACATTGGCTGCAGAAAAGGCACAAAGAGAAGAATGCCACAAACATAGCTTAAGACTTTCCTTGTTAGAGTCTCAACTGGCTACAGCTGAACACCAAGTTTCAATGCTCAGTGTTGACATAGAACAGGTCAAAACTGAAAAGATAATGCTTGAACAGGAATACAAGAGGTATATAAATAAATAATTTATATTATGTTTACTGCATACTAGTATGTAGACAACTATTGTGCATGCAAAATTTAGCTACACAGCGCACAATAAAAGGGGGGAACAGTCTATTAGTAAAATTCCTGAATTTCTGCTATTTTAAAACTTTATAAACACAAAATTTGAATATGATTGACTCTGACTGATGTAGACAAGTATTCTGTATACAAAATTTGGCTACAGGGTGCACAACCCTCTTTAGAACTTATTTTATTAGTAAAAAAAGATATTTCTGAATCTCTGTTATTTTAAAACTTATAAACACAAAATTTGAATATGATTGACTCTGACTGCTGTAGACAAGTATTCTGTCTTTTTTTATTAGTAAAAAAAGATATTTCTGAATCTCTGTTATTTTAGAACTTATCAACACAAAATTTGAATATAATCGACTCTGACTGATGTACACAAGTATTCTGTATACAAAATTTAGCAGAGGGTGCACAACCCCCTTTAAGAGTAATAATTTTATTGTGATAGAAACATTTGAAAATTTTAGGGAAATTGAAATCAACAAGACGAAACTGGAAGAAGCGCTAGAAACAATTAACACATTGAAGAAAGAGAAACAGCAATTAGAACAGCAATTGTCTGCTGAGAGGGCTGCTATTGAATTAAACAAAAGGAAATGTTCTCTTCAGGTGAATAAGCAAGAATATATTGTATATACACTGTTATATTTTTTGAGATTGATACTTTATGAATTTATTGCTTTATTTCAAGGAGAGTTTACAAGGCAAAGGAGATTCCTTTGGCAATGTGGGAAAAGTTTCTCCTGCAGGAACAAGAAACACCTCCCCAACTATAAGCGTAGGGCGGGCTTCTCTTTCAGAATCGTTAGGGAGTTCCGTATTTTTGCAGGTGGTTGAAAAAAAAAGAATAAATTACCTATTAGTTTCACTATTTAATATATTATTAAAACAATTAAATTCCTTACCAAGGTTGGATTAAGTGACTGTTTGTAAAAAACTATAAAAACTTGTTTATGTAAGAAAATACACGTTTTAATTCTTCTACGGCTGGAATAAGCTTAAGTAAACTTTTAACCTTTCTTCCTGTTTAGGGCTAACGGACAGAACAGTACGTTTGTTATAATACGTTATTATTGTATGTAGATATAAACTATTCTTTCACTAATGAACAACCGTTGTTCATTAGCACCACAATCGGTGGCACCCACCATNTTATTAGTAAAAAAAGATATTTCTGAATCTCTGTTATTTTAAAACTTATAAACACAAAATTTGAATATGATTGACTCTGACTGATGTAGACAAGTATTCTGTATACAAAATTTGGCTACAGGGTGCACAACCCTCTTTAGAACTTATTTTATTAGTAAAAAAAGATATTTCTGAATCTCTGTTATTTTAAAACTTATAAACACAAAATTTGAATATGATTGACTCTGACTGATGTAGACAAGTATTCTGTATACAAAATTTGGCTACAGGGTGCACAACCCTCTTTAGAACTTATTTTATTAGTAAAAAAAGATATTTCTGAATCTCTGTTATTTTAAAACTTATAAACACAAAATTTGAATATGATTGACTCTGACTGATGTAGACAAGTATTCTGTATACAAAATTTGGCTACAGGGTGCACAACCCTCTTTAGAACTTATTTTATTAGTAAAAAAAGATATTTCTGAATCTCTGTTATTTTAAAACTTATAAACACAAAATTTGAATATGATTGACTCTGACTGATGTAGACAAGTATTCTGTATACAAAATTTGGCTACAGGGTGCACAACCCTCTTTAGAACTTATTTTATTAGTAAAAAAAGATATTTCTGAATCTCTGTTATTTTAAAACTTATAAACACAAAATTTGAATATGATTGACTCTGACTGATGTAGACAAGTATTCTGTATACAAAATTTGGCTACAGGGTGCACAACCCTCTTTAGAACTTATTTTATTAGTAAAAAAAGATATTTCTGAATCTCTGTTATTTTAAAACTTATAAACACAAAATTTGAATATGATTGACTCTGACTGATGTAGACAAGTATTCTGTATACAAAATTTGGCTACAGGGTGCACAACCCTCTTTAGAACTTATTTTATTAGTAAAAAAAGATATTTCTGAATCTCTGTTATTTTAAAACTTATAAACACAAAATTTGAATATGATTGACTCTGACTGATGTAGACAAGTATTCTGTATACAAAATTTGGCTACAGGGTGCACAACCCTCTTTAGAACTTATTTTATTAGTAAAAAAAGATATTTCTGAATCTCTGTTATTTTAAAACTTATAAACACAAAATTTGAATATGATTGACTCTGACTGATGTAGACAAGTATTCTGTATACAAAATTTGGCTACAGGGTGCACAACCCTCTTTAGAACTTATTTTATTAGTAAAAAAAGATATTTCTGAATCTCTGTTATTTTAAAACTTATAAACACAAAATTTGAATATGATTGACTCTGACTGATGTAGACAAGTATTCTGTATACAAAATTTGGCTACAGGGTGCACAACCCTCTTTAGAACTTATTTTATTAGTAAAAAAAGATATTTCTGAATCTCTGTTATTTTAAAACTTATAAACACAAAATTTGAATATGATTGACTCTGACTGATGTAGACAAGTATTCTGTATACAAAATTTGGCTACAGGGTGCACAACCCTCTTTAGAACTTATTTTATTAGTAAAAAAAGATATTTCTGAATCTCTGTTATTTTAAAACTTATAAACACAAAATTTGAATATGATTGACTCTGACTGATGTAGACAAGTATTCTGTATACAAAATTTGGCTACAGGGTGCACAACCCTCTTTAGAACTTATTTTATTAGTAAAAAAAGATATTTCTGAATCTCTGTTATTTTAAAACTTATAAACACAAAATTTGAATATGATTGACTCTGACTGATGTAGACAAGTATTCTGTATACAAAATTTGGCTACAGGGTGCACAACCCTCTTTAGAACTTATTTTATTAGTAAAAAAAGATATTTCTGAATCTCTGTTATTTTAAAACTTATAAACACAAAATTTGAATATGATTGACTCTGACTGATGTAGACAAGTATTCTGTATACAAAATTTGGCTACAGGGTGCACAACCCTCTTTAGAACTTATTTTATTAGTAAAAAAAGATATTTCTGAATCTCTGTTATTTTAAAACTTATAAACACAAAATTTGAATATGATTGACTCTGACTGATGTAGACAAGTATTCTGTATACAAAATTTGGCTACAGGGTGCACAACCCTCTTTAGAACTTATTTTATTAGTAAAAAAAGATATTTCTGAATCTCTGTTATTTTAAAACTTATAAACACAAAATTTGAATATGATTGACTCTGACTGATGTAGACAAGTATTCTGTATACAAAATTTGGCTACAGGGTGCACAACCCTCTTTAGAACTTATTTTATTAGTAAAAAAAGATATTTCTGAATCTCTGTTATTTTAAAACTTATAAACACAAAATTTGAATATGATTGACTCTGACTGATGTAGACAAGTATTCTGTATACAAAATTTGGCTACAGGGTGCACAACCCTCTTTAGAACTTATTTTATTAGTAAAAAAAGATATTTCTGAATCTCTGTTATTTTAAAACTTATAAACACAAAATTTGAATATGATTGACTCTGACTGATGTAGACAAGTATTCTGTATACAAAATTTGGCTACAGGGTGCACAACCCTCTTTAGAACTTATTTTATTAGTAAAAAAAGATATTTCTGAATCTCTGTTATTTTAAAACTTATAAACACAAAATTTGAATATGATTGACTCTGACTGATGTAGACAAGTATTCTGTATACAAAATTTGGCTACAGGGTGCACAACCCTCTTTAGAACTTATTTTATTAGTAAAAAAAGATATTTCTGAATCTCTGTTATTTTAAAACTTATAAACACAAAATTTGAATATGATTGACTCTGACTGATGTAGACAAGTATTCTGTATACAAAATTTGGCTACAGGGTGCACAACCCTCTTTAGAACTTATTTTATTAGTAAAAAAAGATATTTCTGAATCTCTGTTATTTTAAAACTTATAAACACAAAATTTGAATATGATTGACTCTGACTGATGTAGACAAGTATTCTGTATACAAAATTTGGCTACAGGGTGCACAACCCTCTTTAGAACTTATTTTATTAGTAAAAAAAGATATTTCTGAATCTCTGTTATTTTAAAACTTATAAACACAAAATTTGAATATGATTGACTCTGACTGATGTAGACAAGTATTCTGTATACAAAATTTGGCTACAGGGTGCACAACCCTCTTTAGAACTTATTTTATTAGTAAAAAAAGATATTTCTGAATCTCTGTTATTTTAAAACTTATAAACACAAAATTTGAATATGATTGACTCTGACTGATGTAGACAAGTATTCTGTATACAAAATTTGGCTACAGGGTGCACAACCCTCTTTAGAACTTATTTTATTAGTAAAAAAAGATATTTCTGAATCTCTGTTATTTTAAAACTTATAAACACAAAATTTGAATATGATTGACTCTGACTGATGTAGACAAGTATTCTGTATACAAAATTTGGCTACAGGGTGCACAACCCTCTTTAGAACTTATTTTATTAGTAAAAAAAGATATTTCTGAATCTCTGTTATTTTAAAACTTATAAACACAAAATTTGAATATGATTGACTCTGACTGATGTAGACAAGTATTCTGTATACAAAATTTGGCTACAGGGTGCACAACCCTCTTTAGAACTTATTTTATTAGTAAAAAAAGATATTTCTGAATCTCTGTTATTTTAAAACTTATAAACACAAAATTTGAATATGATTGACTCTGACTGATGTAGACAAGTATTCTGTATACAAAATTTGGCTACAGGGTGCACAACCCTCTTTAGAACTTATTTTATTAGTAAAAAAAGATATTTCTGAATCTCTGTTATTTTAAAACTTATAAACACAAAATTTGAATATGATTGACTCTGACTGATGTAGACAAGTATTCTGTATACAAAATTTGGCTACAGGGTGCACAACCCTCTTTAGAACTTATTTTATTAGTAAAAAAAGATATTTCTGAATCTCTGTTATTTTAAAACTTATAAACACAAAATTTGAATATGATTGACTCTGACTGATGTAGACAAGTATTCTGTATACAAAATTTGGCTACAGGGTGCACAACCCTCTTTAGAACTTATTTTATTAGTAAAAAAAGATATTTCTGAATCTCTGTTATTTTAAAACTTATAAACACAAAATTTGAATATGATTGACTCTGGCTGATGTAGACAAGTATTCTGTATACAAAATTTAGCAGAGGGTGCACAACCCCCTTTAAGAGTAATAATTTTATTGTGATAGAAACATTTGAAAATTTTAGGGAAATTGAAATCAACAAGACGAAACTGGAAGAAGCGCTAGAAACAATTAACACATTGAAGAAAGAGAAACAGCAATTAGAACAGCAATTGTCTGCTGAGAGGGCTGCTATTGAATTAAACAAAAGGAAATGTTCTCTTCAGGTGAATAAGCAAGAATATATTGTATATACACTGTTATATTTTTTGAGATTGATACTTTATGAATTTATTGCTTTATTTCAAGGAGAGTTTACAAGGCAAAGGAGATTCCTTTGGCAATGTGGGAAAAGTTTCTCCTGCAGGAACAAGAAACACCTCCCCAACTATAAGCGTAGGGCGGGCTTCTCTTTCAGAATCGTTAGGGAGTTCCGTATTTTTGCAGGTGGTTGAAAAAAAAAAGAATAAATTACCTATTAGTTTCACTATTTAATATATTATATGCGGTTGTTCACTTTTAGGAAGATCAGTTGGAGATGTCCATGCCTTCTCGTTTTAACAACATGTTAGAGCTGCAAATGCTGCAAACGAGTCTCAAACAGAAAGAGGGCGAAGCACAACAGCTGCAGTGGGAGCTAAATCGAAGAGAACATGAAAGAACTTTGCTTAATAAGCAAATATCGACCCTGTTAAGTAGAGTGGAGGCTCTAGAGATGAACCTTGCTGAACACGAAAGCCTTAAGAACCAATTCAATGATTTACAACGACAGTATGATACATTGTGTCAGCTGTATGGTGAAAAAGTTGAGGAAGCTGAAGAGCTCAAACTGGATCTACAGGACGTGAAGGAATTGTACAAGGCCCAGCTGGATGATTTATTAAAGCAAAAGCAGGGCAATTAAAAGCCCACTATGTTAAGTTATCACTGTGATTTCACATTGGAAAAGGTATTTCATCAGTATCTTTTAGTTTTTCATTGCAAAAGCTTTTAAATCTTTAAGTTTTGTTGTTATTATTAACATGAAAGCCTTTTTTGGGCATTTTAGTTGAACAGTTGCATTAATAACTGCAATTTTGTTGCCATTAAGTGTTGATTTAATAAATGCTGTGATAATTGGAATATACTTTATAAATGGTGTATGATTAAGTATATTATAAGTAAAGGCTTATTGTTGTTATTGTTTAATTAGAAATTGTGGAACACGGAACGGAATTTTTATGAATTAACAGCACTTTAACTATTCATAAGGTGTTGTTAGTAAATATGTAAACGCAGATTACTTATACTTTTTAAATATGAAATAAATACAATACTGTTTTCTTAATCCTTTTATTTTTCAATATTCAAATGCATTTACATAAAATAAGACAAGTAAAAGGAACAAGTAATACAGTATAGGTAACACGCTACAGAATCATTACGTGAAGAAAAAGCATACCCGTTATCTAGATAAAGTAAATTACAAGCCAAATTACAATACACAAATTAACTATACCTTATCGAAGTAATTATATCCATAATTAATGAAAATATACGAAATACACATCAGATCTACGCTGAATGGATATTAACATTCTGACACTCACATTTTACATCTGCTTACCGCAAAATCAATAAAACTCTTCAAAAATTAGACAGTTTAAACGTATGTACAGGTTCATTTGTCTCTTTATTCTGTATAACACTATAATTTAATCCAACTCCAATAGATTACGAATCCTATCCAACTCGTGTACCGAATGATATGCAAGAACTGTTGTATTCTTCCTAGATATCCCTAAGGTAATTATTTAACAAAAAACAACACATACTTTCTTGTCTGTCTTGTTTTATAATAAAATTTAGATTAAATAAAAACAATAACAATATTTAGTAACAAAACTATAACCTAAAACATTTAGTTGTGTTCCTTAATTTATCGAAAACATTAATTTTAGCTAATTAACTTTAATAAAATTGATTAAAATGTAAAATCTACTGATTTGTGCCTATTGCGAGTATTTATTTATAATTTCACTTCCATTTACTATTTCTTTTTATTTAGAGATCACTTTAAAATGTAATTAATTTGTTGGAACCATCAAATTGAACGCACCTTAAAAATCACTAGATATCCCTAGAAAAATAATAATAATACTAAGTATCAGGAGCGCAGGAATTTAACCTAATGTAACTTATGCTATCCTAATACAAAAGTACGAAATTTCAAAATCCGACGAAAACTTTTCAATGTCCGGCGCCTCCACCAAAATTTTTGGTAAACGGACGGAACTTCAATGCCTATTAGAAAGTTCGAATGAACTTACAACACTAAGTATCAGGAGCGCAGAAATCTAACCTAATGTAACTTATGCTCTCCTAATACAAAAGTCCGAAATTTCAAAATCCGACGAAAACTTTTCAATGTCCGGCACCTCCACCAAAATTTTTAGTAAACGATAAGAGAATATCTAGCCATGAGCCAGAATGAATTTATCTTTAGAACATCTAACCCGCTTTCGGGAACTTCGGTACTCTGCCAATTATTAATTGTTTTTTCATTACAATTAAAGAAAGGATTACTAATAGATTTGTTTATTAAACTATTTACTACTACAAAAATGTAAAATGGAGTGAAATACAAATTCACAAAGGAAATCAGTTTATATTAAATTAAATAGTTTACAATTTGAAAATTACAACAGGATGTAGAAAGAATATTAAATGATTTTAGAACAAAATAAATCATTTTTGAGCAACTTAAACACTTTTTTATTTTCATTACACAGTATTTGCACTAAGAAAACTATTTCTGAAATGGATAATAGTCCAAACCAGTCCTATAATCAAATTTGGGCTTGTGTAAACTTTCTGATTTCTTAAGTAATTCCTGCACATCTTTACGATAAGGTGCTGGTTGTAATTCTTCATCAAGTGTACATTCTTTGAATTCCTCGGCTGCTTTCTTGTAGATCTGTTTTCTTATAATATCCACATCCCTGTTATATTCTTCTGCAAGTTCTTCAACAGAATGAGGTGGAGTGTTAAATTCCATCAAGTAGTAACTGAAACAAAAAATAAATAAGTAAATAATAGTATATTACTTTGCAATAAATTGTATTTGCATTGTAGCATGTCAACAAACAATCAAATTTCTTCAAAACTGGAATAAAAAGTTACAAATGGCACAAATTATATTAAAAATAGTACCTTGCATCTCTGTAAACATTCCCATGTATACTTATTTTAAACGGCAAAGATTTTGTTCCTAAATTCTCTACTTTTCTTATAATTCCTTGCTTGTCATAAATACATTGGGCTATTCTCTTTAAAGTAGACACCAATTCAGGCTAAAACTTCGATAAATTACAAGCTGAACTACATAAAACATTCATTTACCTTTGGCATAACACGGAGAACTAACATTAATTCGTAGGTAATCATTTTAAATAAAATTTATTAGGTTTTAATTATTAAATGTCAACCATTTTGTATTTTAAGATATTTATCCTGATGAAAATAGTGGCTAAATACAAGTCATATGCTGACTGCACATTTATTATTTAATTTAAAAACTTCATTAAAACCACACATTAATGTTAATTAACTGCAATAAAGCTACATTTTCTAATAATTTTCGATAATAACAAGAAACTTCAATTAAAATTCATAGAATGAATTTGTAAGACTAGTAATTTGATTTCGACCACTAACAATAGCAGAGACACAGTCATGCAGCATTAATATCATAACAACAATAACATTCATGTAGAATAATTAAAATTTCGGTACATTCTATAAAAAATATTAAAAAACAAGATAATGTGTTCAAAATTGAAAATGTATATTGGAAGGAAGGTAAGTTTTAATTTTTTGTAAGATTTGCTTTACTTACACTATTCAAAAGTCGACTGTCATTTTAGAGGTTAGAATTGAATATTATTTACCAAAATAGCGAGAAATTTATTAATTCTAATTCAATTGCAGTTATTTTACTTCCTTGTGAGTGCCACAGTTTCCAAAAAGTTTTAATATTGATAATAATTCAGTAATTACTTCACACATAACCTCTATTATTACAGTTATTACATTTCATGGGCCCCCTTTAATTTAAATCGTTTTTCGTCTTTAGCTGGTTGATAGTCTACCCAAATCTTTCGATGTGTCTCCTGTGCAATTGAAATCACTTATACAATTAGGTCCTTCGCGCAATAAAAATACTATTGAGATGAACTTGCCTTTAAACGCTCTAGAGAACCAAGTAGGCATTCCTTACATAAATCAGATGCTGAAATTGGAACCCGATGATATAATAAAGAATATTCATTACGAAAAGACACGTTCCAACAGAGTGTTACAATTTGAAATAAACAAGAGCATTTTTATTAAAGATGTAATGGAAAGCCCTATTATCCTTCTTAATGAACGTTTTCCCATGAACGTAGTGGTAGAATACAGCTCCCCAAACGTTGCCAAACCGTTCCACGTGGGTCACCTACGGTCCACAATAATAGGAAACTTTCTTTCCAATTTACACAAGCATTTAGATGATAAAGTAACAAGGCTGAATTATTTAGGTGACTGGGGCACACAATTTGGTCTTATAAAAGTAGGTGTGGAAAAACTCAATTATACAGTAGACAAGATCAGAGAAAAACCTATTGAACGTTTATATGAATCATATGTCTATGCAAATAAATTGGCCAGTGTAGATGATAGTATAAAGAAATTAGCACGAGAAGAGTTCCTCAAACTCGAAAAAGGAAGTCCTAAAGATATGGAAGATTGGAAGATGTTCATCTCATTCACTATCGAGGAATTAAAGAATACTTATCAGCGATTAGGAGTCGAATTTGACGAGTACAATTATGAATCCATGTATGGGGCAAGGGAAATCGAAAGCATCATTAGTCTATTAAATAACAAACAAATAATAAAGACCAGCGCTGACGGTAAAAAGGTTGCGATGGTAAACGACCGTGAAGTGGCCGTTTTAAAAAGCGACGGGGGCACTTTGTATCTCCTAAGGGATATTGCGGCTGCCATTGATCGTTACAATAAGCACCGTTTCGATCGAATGTACTATGTTGTAGAAAACGGACAGAACGACCACTTTCACGCCCTCCAAACCATCTTACACATGCTCGACATGCCCTGGACAGACCGGCTGAGACATGTCAAGTTCGGTCGCATACATGGCATGAGCACTCGCAAAGGGAACGTTGTCTTTCTGAAGGACATCCTCGACGAAATGCGAGAAATTATGGCCAGCAAACAGATCAAATCGCCAAGTGAGTTTGAATCACTTTAGGAAACAACGGATTTTCTACGTTACTAAGACATGTTTTAGACACGAAAAAAACCGCGATGGACACTGAAACTCAAGACATTCTGGCCGTATCCTGCGTTATTGTTAACGACCTCAAACAGAGAAGACAACGAGACTACAAATTCAATTGGGAGAAAGCGTTACAAGTAAATATATAACTCTTTAGTCAACTAACCTTGTAGATAACTAATTCGGTCCTCCTCAGGCGGACGGGGACACCGGTATAAAGCTGCAGTACACACACAGTCGATTGTGTAGCTTGCAGAATAATAGCGGGGTTATTCCTGCAGGAGTTTGTCGTCCAGAGCTCGTTGACGAACCGGAGGTGACAAATATAGTGAGAGAAATAGGGAGGTTCCAGGATATTTTGATGAAGACCGAAGAGCAACTAGAAGCTTGTATACTTGTTGTATACCTGTTCAACTTTTGGTACGCTGAATATCTTGGTTAACGACTGGACATATTTTCTAATGAGTTTGTTGCAGTAATACCATCAGTCGAGCCCTGAAGGTCCTCCGAGTGAAGAACGAAGACCCGGTGGTCGCTTCCCAAAGATTGATGGTATTCTTGAAAGCCAAAGAAGTCCTCAATAAAGGGATGAAAGTGTTAGGATTGCAACCGTTACAAGAAATGTAAGACAAAAACTTAATAAATATTTTTACCTCAAATAAGAAACAAATATTGTGATCGTAGACCTAGACTTATCGTTAGACTGCTGTTTTTACAATTTCTAATAAATAAAAAAGTATATACAACATACGATAGGATATTTTTTCTGGATCACAAAAAAAAATCGTCGTTAATATACTCTATTTCATTATAATGTATTTAATAGTAACATTAAACAATATAATTGATGAAGTACAAAATAATATATATATTTATATAATGTGATGGACGCATTTACACACAAAAAAATAAGACGAGATGATAAAAACCCTTTAACAAGATTTATACAACTTAATAAATAATTAGGAATACAAAAAACGTATTTCTAACAATATTATTACCGAACTAACATAACACGTGTTATTTCAGTGCATTTTTATATCTTTATTACTTCTCGTCTTGCAGTTATTCTTTAATTCTCATTTAATTAATCTGCAAAACGTCAATAATAATAATAATAATAATTAATATAACAACACAGAAGATGATTTCTAATAGGTGAAAAAAGTACATACACATCGATCAACATATTTTACTCTTCTTCCTATCACTTAAAAAATACGTAATGTACGTAATTGTGTTAATTGATTGATTGAAAAGGAATCATAGGACTAAGTGGGGGG